ACGCGACGCAATGGGACATGGTCGCAAAAATAGTCGGATCTAATTCATTTTCTCAGTATCGAGTTCATCAAAATATTTTGAAAATTGCAGTCTAAAGGCTAGGCACAAAAATTCATGGACTGACTTTAGACAGACGGACGGATAGGTAAACAGATATGCTCAAATTCAATGTATCATATATCTCAAGTCCTTCTGAGCAAAACCTTAATAACGTTTTACTATGCTGTGTTGTGAAGTGTTTAAACACAATCCACAAGTATTATTGACAATAGGTCACACGCTTTGGCAAGTTGTAACAATGATATTGTGATGGAATAATTGAGACGCGTTTACGAAAAAAGTGTGAATAGAAATATCTTAGATTCGCTTCAAGGCAGATATAATTTTTGTCCCCGCAACCCAAGGTGAAGGCACATTCATTTTCTCAAATGGTTTGCGAAATCCAAAAGGAAGCTTAAGCGATCTTAAAAGGCACTCGATTGGTATGCAATTCTAAGTCCATGCATATGAACGCGTCCGTCCACCAATTCATCTATCCCACTACCGGTCTATCTTCCCAATTATTTTTAAATGCCCATAAACATACTCTCCGCCATAAGATCTAAGAAAATGATATCGAAATGGGCAAAAACATTGAAAGTTCTTGCGCGCAAGTTACCAAGGAAAGTCAGTGAGATCAGTCAGAGAGCTCTGCTGGAATATAACGCGAACAGAAAATACTCCAGATTTCGAAACCAAAAAGATTAGCTCATTATTCAAAAACCGAGAAAGCTCCATTGATTGTATGTGTGATCTCACACTGCGTACAAAAAAATGAAACAAAATGAACCACGACCACCGAATACCATAGACGTGTTATGTAAAAATTTCTTCTTTTTTTTTTTGCTTATTTAAGAAAGTGATGGCGAGTATAAGAGATTCGGCCAAAATCGAATATAATTTACTTACTTCTTTTACTTGTTTTTAGTATTCTTAAGCCTTTTATTTATCGTAGTTTGAATGGCAATTAGTGCCTTACTTAGTTTTATGTTTATATTGGTAAACGATTGTCGTTTTATTTGCTGATGGAAACAATAAATAGCAGAGTGGGTCGAAATTACGGCCTACAGATTTTGCATATTCTGTCAAATCAGAATATAAATCACATTTCTGCCAAATCTCTATTTAAATATGTGCTCTTGAACATATAGGCATATAAATAAACAAGCCAGCACAAACGCAAGAATCGTTTGCACTCACATAACATAAAGCAAAATGATAAATTTCTTTGAATTAGAAACGCATACAACATAGCATAGCATAGATGCCTTGCAGTAAACGGCAACATCGGCAGCAGCATAAACAATCAAAAGTCATAATTTACTAATAAGATCACAATTACAATTAAAATAGCAACAATAACAATAGAATAAAGAGAAATATACAGATATATATATATATATACATATATATACAGATATATATATATATATATATATATATATGTATATCGATATGTAAACATACATATGTAAGCGGACATACATATGCCGATGGCTGTGTGTGTCTGAGAAATAGAATCTCTCTGCACATAGACGACGAAAACAACAGCAACAATCGCAAGACTATAATAAATTATTTTCAAAGTGATAGAAAGAGACAGAGCGCATTAGAGATAATCAGACAGATACAATGTAAAGAAGGTCTTCTCGCAATAACAAATCGAGTTCAATGTAAAATCAAATATAAAACTTTTTAAAAATATTATAAGCCACGGGAAGAATCTTGGGTGCACTCAATCAGTGTGAGTGTACGGTTCCACTCGTTCTTTACTAAATCGGTTAATCAGGATCGTATACCTTCGTGAAATTTCATAGGGATAACGTTTTGGGAACCGTTAATGAAGTAATGAAAACATGTATAGAAATTTACTTTTCTTGTTTAGCACACCGATCTATCGACCATTTTTCGCTTGGGAGTATATGTGACAAGTTGAACGTAATTTTCTACATCATTTTTTGCGACTGCGGCAATTCTAACAACAATGAGAGTAGAAATTCGAAAATAGATATACGTATCGCCGGATAAGCGATAAGCTCGCAGACGAATGCAGCAAACGATTTAACGGATCTATCGGCGCACGATTGATCGGTTGATCGTGTATCCCGGCTCGTCATATTTTGTCGCTATATATTGCGATTCTAATGACAAAGTTTTTATAACTCTAGCCTAACCTTTTCGAAATAAATATCAAGAACGCTTATCCATTATAAATAACTTTGTAAGCAAATATATCAAAGCAGCTTTTTATTCGTAGGCCGAGCAGAACTAATTTCTTTCAGTACATAATTTATACTGTTTTTAACTTTCAGGTGAGCTTGCAAGTAATTAAAGCAAACATTCAGTATATTCAATTTCCAAGTTTCGGTATACCGGCACTATAGTGCAATCTTGTCTTTTATACGGTACTTCCGTTTTCTTGTGCACACCAGAATACTTCGCTATCAAGAAGTCAGAGAAAGAATCAATGACTGGATAGGGGGTAATGACTTCACTCATATAAACAATCTTCCCTTTCGTTCATATGAAATGATGAAAGTAATATGTCCTCGAATTTCGTAGGAGAGTACAACATACGGATACAGAATTTTGTTTTTGTAAGTATATAAGCGAAATACTACTTACGTATTGTGGTTTTCTATGAAAGGTATTTATACTCATACACTGAGATATGTTGCCTGTGTAAATAAATAAAATTATAGATAAAATTACGACCTGAAAACGAACGAATTGCAGTTGTTGTGTTGTTTTTTCTCTGGTTACATAAAAACATTGAGTGACTCGAGCAAAGAATTTGTCGTCACTTCCCTCCTTACACATTAAAACATAGTCAAATTAATTTCCATTTAAGATTTTCAATATATTTTCAAATACGATTTGGCGGTAAGTAGGGAAATGAAATGCGCGAAAACTATTTTCAGTCCGAGAGCAGTAAACAAAAGATTGTCACAAGAAATTGAAAATAATTACAAACCAGAAGCTTTTTTTTTTTTTTTTTCTTGCTTTCTATTAAACAATTATCAAGACTTGCACACACACATAAATACGACGAGATTATATAAAAAATTATATGAAAATAGCACAGTTGCGTGAGTGTTTTCCTTTCTTTTTAAACACCTGCTAAGCATAACGTTGAATATTTCATATTTATTGTGATTTTTTGAGGGTTAAAGAAAATTGCATGCACACGTAATATGCTTGTGAACTAACTGTTGGTAGTGCGCGCGTACGCCAGTTCCCACAAGCACAGAACACATGAAACCAATAAGGTTAAATGTTAATGAAATCATGTGGTGCGGTTATAAAGTGAATTACTCGTAAATTTATATTTATGAGTAAGCAGATGCATTAGTTGTTGTTGTATTTCTAATCTTGATTACGGAACTTTGACAGTGGTAATGAAATGAAGAGAAGCATTCCAGCACAATGGAAAAGTTACATTCACTTTAGAGTAAACCGTCAACGTCCAGTGTGTGCGTAAATCACACTTTTTTGTTTTTTATTAAATGCCAAAGTGGCAATCGATTTTTTTTTTTAACCCAATATTTTTGTGCAGCAACCAAGAGGATTTCACGTCTAATGCTAAGATATTCCTTAATACTAGAGATATATAAATCACACTTTACCACCAGGAAATTCAGTAACTCTTCTCCTTCGTTTTCTTCTTCTAAAAATTCTACCGAATCAACGAGAGGCGTCATATGGGAAAGGTTTTAGTAGAACATGAAGTTTTTTGCCTAAATCCCACAAAAGGCTGGAGATTAATTTTGGTTATCTTCTCCTTCTCCAATGCAGCAAATTAGCAGGAGACGATTCATTGCGTTGAGTAAAAAATATGTTTGTTGTCCCAGTAATAGTTAAGTAATGCTTTCTCACTGCGTCATATGCGTAACATGATTTTAAAGTGATTGCCAGCAACATATAAAAATTTTGAATACTACTGTACTGTTGAACGCTTGAAAACTTGAATAATAATACTACGGCGCCTCTCAATCATGTTATTCGATATAACCAGAATCCAAAGAAGCTTTTAAGGTTTCCATAACTAGCCAGAAGAGCGACATAAATTCAGTATATAAAACTTTGAAAAACAACTTAAAACTTTGTTTGTGATGTACGCCAAGGTTATGCGAAGGAGTTCCTTCGACATTTTTCGTCTGACTTTAGTTGATGTGGCTTCACTGCGAAACAAAAACAACTTTTATTTTTATCACCAGCTACAGAAATCAAGCCATTACCATCAGATATGGCGTTAAGAGTATTCGCCCCAGGACTTAAAGAGTTCACTACGTCCGAGAGTTTTCCTCCGTAGCTTCAGAGGAGAGCAATGTCAAAAGAAACTTTTTATTATTTGGAGTAACATATCACTGCAATCATAGATCTTCTCTTTTTTTCTCGATTAGTAGATGCGTTTTCATTGCAAGGCATCTTCTGGTGCATAGATTTTAGATATTGAATGTCGTACCAATTTCAATATAACGATCCTAATGACTGAATATTTTCTTTCCGCAAAGACTTTCTTTCTCCTTCACATCAAGCCGTCAAAATTCTGAAAGCTTTATGCTAACTTTTGCTATTAAAAACAAATCTGTTTTTCGTATTCCTTCGTTTCATATACTTTCAATGGCATCAATATTTAAGCTTGAAATATACTGTTCAGAGATAGTTTGATTTCCACTTTGGCACTATTTGGCACTTACGATTAACGCGAGAACAGCAGCATCAAAACTATGCCTAGAACTTCTTTCGGTCTAATTTGGCAGATTTATTAAAGCAACCATTCAACAGACCAGTCAATCGTTATAAATTGGCTTATTTTAGATTTCACCGAAAACTTAACTGTAGTTTTAATCCTAAAGCTTGATAATATATTTGAGATAATTATCATATTATGCTTATTATGTTATGCTTCCACTTTGTAATTGTTTTTTTTTCTCAAATTTTTTTATATTTTTTCATAGCACAAAAAAATCTTCACCTGGTACGAGGGCGAAACGTCAACCAGCGAATTATTTAATGGACGCTTGCATTTGATCGATCATGGGGATTATGGCAAAGCATCGGCAAACCTAACCTCAATACGTGAATCAGATCAAGGCTGGTATCACTGCCAAATTATCTTTCCAAATCGCACACCCAGTGCCCGGAATAATGGTACTTGGTACCATCTTGCCGTTCAAGGTTCCATCCATTGAAATACAAGAAAATTCAAATCTTTTATGTGATCTATTTGCCGTTTAGGGGGTTCTTTGATAAAAATACCACCAATAAATCAAACACTTATGGAGGGGCAGACAGCATTCTTTCATTGTGTGATGAAATATCCGGATACCTCAATGGCATCATGGTATAAAGATGGCGTTTTATTGCAAGATATACCGGATTTAATGCGTCGCTCTTATATGGGACCACATGGTAGTTTAAGCATTGATCCCACCATGATGAGTGATTATGGCGAATATGAGTGTCAAGTGCGTAACAATGAAAGTGAAATACAAACGGCTAAAGCCTTTTTGAATATACAATGTTCGTATGCATGTGTGTTTCAAGCATATTCTTATATACTCATGTTCATGCTTTTGTCTTCTTAGATAAAGCTAAAGTTATTTATGCGCCACCAGAAGTCTATTTACCGTATGGACAGCCGGCTGTGCTTGATTGTCATTTTCGTGCTAATCCACCGTTGAAGAATTTAAGATGGGAGAAGGACGGTTTACTCTTTGACTCATACAATGTACCTGTAAGACATTTCCGAGCTTAGATTGTATCGCATTAAACATAAAATACCGCTTTTCAAGTCATACATAATAAGGACGACATAAAAAAAACGTGTCAATAATAGTTCAATACCTTCTCTCCATCTTTTCTCTCTTTCTTTCTTTCTCTTTCTCTTTTCCTCTATCCTTTTCATTATTATTTTTGTATTTACTGCACATTTAGGGTGTTTTTTATAAAATGAACGGCAGTCTATTCTTCTCTAAAGTGGATGAAAATTATGCTGGCAGTTACACTTGCACACCATTCAATGAACTCGGCACCGATGGTCCATCGCCCGTCATTAATGTGATTGTCTTGCGACCGCCAATATTCACTGTAACACCAAAAGCGATTTACATACAGAAACTGGGTGAAACTGTTGAACTACCATGTCAAGCCATCGACCGAGACGGCAGCAATCATCCATCTATTGATTGGAAACGGGTGTGTATATCTATGCTCTTTGTTTATTTGTGTATGCGGGCATAATACGATAATGTTCTTAGTTACATTGTTGAATAATTTTTGTGTGCTTTTTTCATTGTTCTAAAATAATCAGAAAAAGTAATCAATCGGCTACAATGCTTTTACAATCTGTTATAAAAAATTTCATTTCATATAATGGGCGAAAGAAGTGAAGAGCGCCTCTAGTACAATGAAGTGTTTTATTAAAACCTTAACTTCAGGAATTCATTTAAATTAATATTATATTAATCATAAAAACTTCATACAGAGTGTCCCAATACTCACATAAGACTTGAATGGCAGATGCATTCATTTTATTGTTTCGCGGGCTACACAGCTTGTCGCACCGTATTGTTGAAACCATATCTCGTCCATGTGTTTATTTGGCAAATAAGGCAAAAAAATTCTGATTATTGCGGCATGATGACGAGCATTATTAGCTCTTACTGTCTAATCAGCCGCATCGGCGAAGAAGAACACTCCGATGATGCCTTCAGGCCAAAATCCACATCAAATACCAACGCATTGTAGATGCTTACGCTTCTCAAAATCCGTTCACGGGTTTCTATCAACCACAAACGGGACAATTCTGTTGATTAAGCAAGATAAAAAAAAAGGGAACTTCACTGTTTGTTTGAGAGATCATCTGCCACTTGTTTTTCTTCTGCAATCAGTTCAATGCATTCTAACGAGTGTGTAGCGCTCTACTTTTAAAAACTGTCTGAACTGTTGTGCGTCCGGCTATCGTTCTTTCTATGTCAGAATATCACCGCACAGTGCAATGTTTACTTTGAACACCCTGCATGAACTTTATACAATGATGTATGATAAAGGTTTCTAACAGCGGGTATAGTAAATGGATGTGCGCTCAATTTGTGTTCTTTTTATGACTGCTAAGATGTTTTGCTAAATATACAGGTTTGTTTCATAAACATGGGGTACGTAGTCGACGGAGCCTTCCTACTTTTCTTTTTTTTTTGTTTTCGGATGTACGCCGCTTGATATGAATATAAAACTGCACTCACGCAACGGTTGTCGCCTCTGGGAGTATACATTATTGCCTCTCAATTTTTGCGATGCGCACATTGCCTTATCATTATGAAACGACAAACGATATATTCGAGCGCACTCACTCATATCTAAGACTGGTACATCAGCCTTCATCGGCACAGTAGATCTCAAGGAAACGAGATGAAAAAAATAACAACAGATTTCTACATAAAATCTCTCTCGTCGTCCTTTTTTTTGGTCGCTCCCCAGCCAGCTATTGTACCGCTTTTTAAATTAGCAAAGTGATCGTTGGATTGTGGTAAAGAAATTCTTAGGAATAGTTACCTAAAAAACATCTTCTTTAAGTTTAATTTCCTATAAACAATTATAGCGACGTCGTTTATATGAGTCCGTAGACTATATTTTCCGTGCCTAATTACTTTTTCAACACCAGCGTCAATAGCATCTTCCCTACAGATTTGGTCGCCGCCAAAATCTTCAGCCCAATCTTTCGTCGAGCTAACAGTATATTCACCAATACGAACAGCAATCCTTTCAAATTATCGAGAGTAACAGATTGTTAGGTAAAAGTATTCGAGATATTTTAGGCATACTTACAGTGGATAAAAGTGTTCAGTCACACAATGCGCAGTTTTTAGTGTATATATATACGAGTTATCAAACTACCTCCGCATTCGGTTGTATTATACACTAACAAGGTCGACCAAGGAAACTCTAACAAAGTAGTTTCCACACCAAATGAAACTCTTCTTCGCAAGAAAGCGCCACACATTCGTGAAGTGCTTGATAGTATTCGTTGGCCCATTGGATTTCGTGCATCGTCTTCTGTATCTTCATTACCGTAAAAGGTAATTTTTGATAACTGAATATTTTCTACATATGTTGCATTCTTCTTTCGTGTACTTTCCGCAGTCGAACTAGTCAAGTTACTTTCCGGTCTATTTTGTTTCAAATTTCGCAAGAGTTTTATAATATCTTTGATAGCATCGATCATCTCTGCCTGAAATTCAAGTCAACTCAACACCATTTATTTTATTTCTAAATTTAAGTTAAATTATCTTATTGTTGTCTTTTTAATTATGTTCCTTTATACCCGTAAATTTTAGATATATTAGGGCATAGGTCTTATCCTAAATAGATCGATAATACATGCGGACGCCTTATATTGTTGTGGTTGACATTCGATTGCAAGACAAAGAGAAATATAGAATTTTCTAACGTGTAAGAAAACAAACTTTCACTAAACAACTTATCTTCTTTTTCGAAATTATATTTTCTTATATTATGTCCATTTCAAACGCAGAGGACAATACAAGTTACGTCATTCCTTTTGCAACACCCGCAGTTAGCTATCAAAAAACCTATAAAGTTTAAGGATGTGAGTAATCGCGAAAGATTTTGAAACCCTCTTCTACTCAAAACGCGCTAGTTTTGTCTTTACTTCTGGCTTAGGTGACAGCACACCGTCAGCTTGACCCAGCTGCGAAAACGATAGCGTTTAGAATATCTGCCCTTTTTTATTCGCTTATTAGTATTCCTTCAGCTCGTCATCGATATTTCCTGTAAGCTACATTATAAAGTCAGTTAAGGCTGAGAAGTTCATGGGTGACGCAAATGAGTCCGAAACTGTTGGTACCTTTGAACACCGGCGTAATGTGGACTGTTTTGTCTGAAGAAATTTGTCCACCAATCAATGCTTTTAGGGTAACTTCGATCTTCTTCTTCTTTTTCGATCTTTGTGATGTTCTCATCTAATGTTTTTACAGTTGACCGTATACCGCACGACACAGCCTTAAGACTCATCGTCCATTAACCGCATAAGCCGCTTTTGAAACAATGATCGAAGCAAAAAGAATTTTCCCTCATAATCCACATCACAATACCGTGACTGGTGGTTCTTTAAGCGCACTGTCCATCGTTGAAACAACCCTCGGAGTTTACTTTCACCTTCTACTTTTATTTATATCTTTACTCCCCTTTTTACGACTCCTCTAGCTATAATTTTTCCTAACCACCGTCGGTTGCACATGTGTAGAAAACATCTGCTAAGTAGTGGGCCGAATTTAAAAAGTTTTTAAGGTTATCTTTAATGTCAGAATATATTATTATATTACTTCTGCTTAGAAGCTTCTCACCTTCAACTAAAATATCATCAAAATTGTTTCGAGTAGACTCTGAGATCTTTGTGTTTCACCTTTAATCGGATAAAAGGTCATCAAGCTTATAGCATTTGGTATCAAAATTTTTTAAAAAAAATCAGAAAAAATCGCACATTTTGTATGAACCCACTAATTACTACAAGCGGTGAACATTGACTTTATGCAAAAGCGTATTATTACATAAGTCTAAAATATAGTCGCGCGCGAATTTATTTTTGTTCGCGAGCAAAGTTTGACAGATTAGAAGGAATTATTAAACTGATTGTTCATTTGAAATATTTTAGATTTTCAAGAAAAATGTTTTAATATGTGAACTATTTGATAAATAAATTAGAGAAATAAATTTAATGAAAATAATGGAACAATAAAAAGGGATTAGTTCATGCGATAAAGATTTAAATGCAAGACAATCTTTTGCTTGTTGCGCGTGAGAGAAGTAAAGAAGAAAGGAATGAGATTTTATAAGACAAGTTCGTTTGATATATTTTTCATGTCATTCAGTGTGTGCAAGAGAAAATGCCTAACAAAGAACAATTAATGTTAATCACAAAAGTATCGTCTACTACTTAAGTCTTTCCATCTCCTCAGCAAAGACCGGACTGATACTCGGCAGATCGTCTAGGAAATCAAGAGGTTTTTTGCAGCTCAAAAATCCTATTCCATCATATTCTATTGAAGATGTAGCTCACAAGTGCAAGTTTTCACAATTTGAGTTGTACGCAGAGAAGAATTTTAGTGATTTTGCATGCAGGAAAAACCATACTGTTATTCCCCTGGAAATTGCATGCAATCGAATTACAAATAACAAACGCATCTAAGAATTCCACACATTAAATTTCATGGAAATCTTTCGCCTTTTTCGTAGAATTGATAAAGTTGATGGAGAGGTCAAGTTTTTTAAACTTAACATTGCATACGGTCAATAGAAAGCAGATTCCAATTGTATTTCTTATCAAATCAGTTCACACTACTTTTCGCTTTTTTTAATTCGTTAGTAAACGGAATGAAAAAGATAAGGAGACTGCATTAATAAAAGCAGTTACGACGCACTGCAACATATCGAGAAAAATATCCGAATGACAAAAATAGTGAAAGTGCAGTAAAAGCAAATTTCATGCTATAAAAATTTCTTTCTGAATATTATCTGCAAGAAACACAACGAAGAGTGCAATCGTAAATGTGTTCTGTATACACAAAATACTTACGTACTACCTACTCGTAATAGATGCTATTTCTATTGATAGATATGATGTAAACTCTATGGTGCATAGTAGTGAATATAGTGCGAATAGTATCTCTGCTGTCCTAGATCCGAACATTTTAGGTGCAGGTATGATTTTCTCAAACAATTTGATTCACTTAGTATCCTACATGAGTCCACTACTGAAAAACCGTTATATGATTAAAAGTACTTGGTGTAAGGCTATGGCCCGTCAGAGTGTTTTTAATTGGTTTTAAATAAATAAGTCACTTTATATATCTTTCGATATATCACACAACTCTGCTTCAATAAGGTCTTTCCAAGGACGGCACCTATCGTCAAATACGTCAAATCTACGTTTCCTCAGGAGTTAGACAATGAATTCTGTGCTAGGTCAAAACCAATCTGTGAGATAACCCCGGCTTCAATAAGGTCTTTCCAAGGACGGCACCTATCGTCAAATAGGTCAAACCTACATTTCCTCAGGAGTTAGACAATGAATTCTGTGCTAGGTCAAAACCAATCTGTGAGATAACCCCGGCAATATAGCTTTTTGTTCGCCAACCAATTCTACGATTTAAAAAAAATTGGCGGTATGTTGGATCAACGACATAGGGTACAAAATGTATTCACATACGCGAAGAACATCCTGTTGCGATATACGAATATTTTTATACAAGATTATGTGGACCGTAACTAGTTTTGAGAGTATCTTTTATTATGCAAAATCAATAAAAAATAAAAGTTGCAAGGCCTTTTGATGAACAAAATAAAGAAACAAAAAACAAAACACACGACAGCATCGAATTCGACGTCATGTTAAGGGGCCTCTTTGTTTAGAGCGCTTTTAACCGATATTTGGAAAACACAGCCACAATAAGGAAACCGACACATAAAAAATAAAATGACCTTTATTCCTCCAAATTATTTTCTATCCAATTCATGTAAGAAGGAACTCGGGTAAACACAGCCGGTAGATAACGTTTATCCCCACAACTAGCTACGCCTAAGGACGTGACACCGATTTGCACGGAACGGGTACGCCTATTCCTGTAAACGCTTGTAAATAATGGTCCGCCAGAGTCACCTTTACAAACATCCACCTCATTAATGCCGGATGCACATATTTCCTTATCGTTATTGAAGAAAGACCGATATATTCGTGTGCATTCGTTTATATCTAGGACAGGAATTTCCGCCTTCATCAATATATTAGAACTCAAGCCTACGAGATGAAAAAATAGCAACGTATTTATGTACAAAACTTCCCTTGTTATAATTACTTTTTTCGGTCGCTCCCCAACCAGTGATAGTAGCCCTTGATAAAGTAGAAAAATCTTCACCAGGTTGAGGCAAACATATCGGGAAATGGGATCCTACAAAATTAAAAGTTATTAATTAGAAATTAGACTATCCGTTTTATGTATGATTTATGTTATACGCATACTTGTGTACGAGATCGTCTGATCCAGACGTATTAAAGCGATATCATTTTTGTGGGTACGTCGACTGTATCTTTTGTGTCTAATTACTTTTTCAATGCCAGCATCGATAGGATCTTCACTGCATATAAGGCCGCCACCTAAATCTTCAGCACAATCTTTCGCCGAACTAATATTATGCTCACCAATTCGAACAGCAACTCTTTTAAGTCACGGAATGCTATATAAAACTATTGGAATTTCAAATATTTTAAAAAAACTTACAGTGGATAAAATTGTTCGGTCACACAGTGCGCAGCTGTTAAAACATATCTAGGCGTTACTAAGGTACCTCCACAATGAAAGCGTTCCGTTGAATTATAAACTAATAACGCCGACCAAGGATACTCTAATAATGTGGTTGGCACACCAAATGAAATCCTACGACCCAAGTACGTGCCACAATAAAGTGCACTACTTGCTATTATGGCTCGGCCCACTGGGTTTGGCTTATCGTCTTCTAAGTCTTCATCAGCCTTGCCTATAGATTTTCCCATCAATATCGTAGTTGTTGCCAAACTTCTCGCGCTCGTACTGGCTGAATTGCTTTCAGCTTCGATTGGTATAGCAGTTGTTTCGACGGGAATTTCGCTTTGTTCAGTTTCTGCTACATCGGAAGATTTTTCCGATCTGGTTTCGCTTCTAATTCTTATATTGTCTGTATTTTCTGTTGTTGTTTCTGGCCTATCTTGCCTAGTGGTTGTTACTGAACTTGAGTCCTCATCCTGCACCGACTTGATGGTCGTCTCCCAACTATTTTGCGTTGCTGACTTTAAATCGTTTGATCTATTTCTGGTTCCATTTATTGTGTTAATTGGCTCTACATTTTTTTTGCCACCAAATGGTGCTGTTATCGCTTTCGTATTACTCCAATTGCCAATTTTTGTTGTAGTTGTGTCGTCACTTTCGACTGATATCGTAGTTGTTTCTAAATTTTTTTGGTCGTCCACGTTTCGACCAGCAATGGCGTTATTAATTTCATTTATTGCTTTAATATCAGCAGTCGGAGTCGTGGCTTCATAATTATGATGGGTGGAGTCTGTTGTCCAAACTGATGCCGCCGTTGCTCCCGTATGATCCTGAACATTGGGTTTTTGCACAATTAAACGGCTCTCAATACTATCTAAAATTAAATATGACTCTAATTAACTTCCTCCTGATAGACTTTAATATTATTACTTCTTTTTTATTTTTATTAGTATTAGTGGATTATAACTTTTATATCTTTAAGGTTTAAATTCATGGAGCTTTAGTAACTAAGGCTATCGGTTCTAATTTAAGGAAGCAAAAACACTATAGTGGGCCTGGGCCTGCCATTAAGTACCTTACAACGCTTTTAATTATATAACGACTATCCAAAAGAAGGCTTCGCAAGCGAAGTGGTCGAAAAGTGGTCCGATCTGAAACATTTTCAATTGAGTTCGCGCTTGGGGCAAAATGCGTCAATGCAGCAAATTTCCTCAAAATACCTTAAAAATTGCGGCTTGAAGATTAAACATAAAAAGCAAGAGTGGCAGGCTGAGAGACAAGCTTAAATCACCCTCAGAAGCTTCATACTTTCTCGTACAAGTTTGAATAAAAGAAACATGACGGGTACTTGAGGGAATTTAAGAAAGTTTAACGTTTTATTTTCATTGAATCTTGCGAATATTCATATCTTTAGGCGTTTCTAATGCGACTTTTGGATCTAGGGAAGGCGTTTGGCATTGGCAAAGATTTCTTATGCAATTGCATATTAGGAGAGTAAATTTCTTAAGGATCTTTTGGAATCCAACGGGTTGATTTCGATTTTGCGATCATATAGCAGAGCAAAAGTTATACTAATTTATTAATATATTGTTAATTATTGATATTAATTCATTATTAATTTATATTAAGATTTTAGAAAAATACAAGAAAAACCCAACGAAAAAGTCGACATGTTACTATTCACGCTGCCTGCGGGTTAAAATTAACCTGAATAGTTAAGTGGATTTTTTCGTCAATTTTCTTTTACATTTTTGTTCCCAATATCTTTGAAATGGAATTTTTCTGTCGGTTTGGCTAACCCGCCAAAAATTTAGTATAACTTATTCCTCATCTATTCCATGATGTTTCACGTGGTCTTTAATAGGTATCGAATAGTTTTTATCCCCTATAATCTATCTGTAGCAGTTTTGATTTTATTTTTACGAGGAAGTTTGGTAACCTGTATGCGGCTATAGCTTCCGCATTAGCTTCGATTAATCTTGAATTGTTTGATACGATCAATCACGACATAGGAAGGCAACAGTACCAGCTATAAACAGATGGTGCCATCTATTATTCTCCAAAATAGAAATTTTCTCTGCGATTGGCATTTGGATAAGTTTTTCTTTTAGTTCCTAAAATTTTATAATGTAGCCTTACACCGTCTGCCACCTTGCCTTGTAGTCCAAGTTATCAGGAATTTCTTTGAAAAAAACTCACTAATCTATATATCTTCAAAACTCATTTGACATAAATGTTATTCTGTATCGAACCGTGTCGTTTCATGGTCAACTTTAACTATAAGGTGGAGAGTCATTACTGGACTGGACGCTTGGTTTATATACGATGTCAGTTTTCATAACCCATTGCCTGTCGAAAGGAAAAACGAATCTAAACAAATATGGTCTATCTCTGAGAACAAGTCGCAAAGCAATGCCGAATATTTCAAACACACGTTTGCTTTTAATTGAAACTAAATCAAAGTGTAAACTGCGTCACGTGTTTCATCTTCTTTAAAATTATCGGACGGACGGTATATCCATTGCATTTGATCAGAAAGTAAAGATCAAGAAGAAAACTGATATCGCACATGAAGATTTGCCGAGTAAATAAAAGCAACTGAGATGACCATTTATCATAAGACAGTTTTCGCACCCAAGACTAATTTTAGAGGAGAATTCTCCACAATATTTTGTTTGCGTGGGCTAGAAGTTTTTCTTTACTATATAGCGTAAATTGAATCTTTCCGTCCTTAAGGTAAATTTTTGACACATAGTTCAGATTCATAGCATGAGGAAATTTTTCGCTTACTTTCTCGCATAAAGTACGCTACAGAGCTACACTAGGGTATACACACCACACATCTATATACAATCAGTGTTGCATCATAGTGGCAACATCGCCCACAAGCCACCGCAACAGATGTACATTGGTAAAGAAAGCAGTGACATGCCAGCATCTTATGAATGTCATCAACTATGTCTGCTTCCATTAAGGTGATTGTGAAAGGCACGCTCTTTAGATATACATTATATCGTTTACAAAATATGGGCGCTTTATTTCTAAAGGTACAAACGGTTATTATTTGGTATGAGCATAACGGTTACGATGTTAGGTTCATACGTCTGTCATTCCTATTGAACAGAACTTTCTTGTTATCCGATTTTAAAGCATTTGTTTTTTTTTTTCTTTTTTTTGCAATTTTTTAAAGTTTCTTCAACCAGCTCTCTTCTTCTTCTCATTTTAATACCACTTTTGACAGGTTTGAGTCATCCGTCAAAATATTTTATTAGCTTTCGCTTTCCTACTACGTCAAGTATCTCACCTTGCAGTGAAATCTCATCAGATTTATTCCGAGTGTTGGTTTCTTTGAAAATTGATTTCATGTCATCTTCGACCGGACAACACAACATTAAATTTAAAGCACTTTGCATAAAAATGATTAAGAAAAGTACAAAGAAATTGAACATTTTAACTAAAGCCGCTGACTACAACCGACGAAAACGAGAGGCGAATAACTTTTAATTGAAATCTCTAATACTCTCTATCGTTTTATACGAAATATTAGAAAAACTGATTCTGACTTTTGATATTTATTTACAAACTTGGGAATTATTTCCACACATTAGCAGTTTTCGCTCAAAGAGAATTAGAATAATAAAAAAGCCACCGGTTTTACAATATTAGTTAGTTAATATGTTATTTATACGCATTTGTTCGCTCGTAAGGCTTAGCAGATTACAACGAATTATTAAAATGAGTTATCGTGAGAAAAATATTGAGAATTTCCAGGAAAAGTTGCTCACAATATTTTTTAATAAAAGTGTTGATAAATAAATCAGAGAAATATCAGAGAAATATTTCGAAAAGGCATAAAACGCAATACAACACACGCACACACAAATACACACACACACACACACAGACACAATTCCATCGCGAACCTAATTTCTTTAATTATGTCACGCGAATAATTAAAACAGTATTTAGTTGATGTAGTAAAGTTTGGTTTGGCAGAATTAAAAATTTTTAATTTTTGCTCAGAAAGTGCGGAAAATTAAGTATAAATTAAAAATGATTGCAACGGAATTCATATATATTCAAATATATTTTAATCACTTAGTAGATTGCCAGGAAGTATGCCGAACATGGAAAAACATTTATTCATTGTATTGTCTTTGAACCTTTTCTATCGTACGCCACATGTGAGACAACGGTATAAGGATATGTGCAACACCGAGAAAAAATCGAGATAGACTCATCTCTTATTCTACCTATAGATTAAGCATCACTTCCCGAATTGCCCTAAGCTTGCCCGTCCATCTATCCGTCTTTGTTTCTTAAGTTTAACCTACAGGTCGCAAATAATTGAGTTATTTTGACCACACTGCGATAAACAAACATGCCCAAGCACGAACGCTATTGAAAATGGTTCCAATTTTTTGATCGCTTTCCCATCTAACGCTTTATTTTGAAAAGCAGTAGTACGAATAACTGTGGAATAGTGCAGAATATTTAATGATGGGCCCTGACCCGCTATAGCGCTTTTAATTGTTCTAACTAAAAACCGAAAAAATGTTATTAATAGTGTCTTCATCTGCGCATCCCATATAGAATTTGACAAAATTGATGTGGAAGTCATAAAAAATAAATTTTGGTAATTTGCCTTTCCTTCCACAAAACATATTGTGCTAACATAGTTAGTGCAACTAATGCTTTTAAAAAGAAACATCTGATCTTATGCTAATTAAACCAATTGAATGTACGATTGAACTGCCTTGACGCAATTGATTTTACCTAATGCAAATATTCTGCTTATATATCCTTTTACAAGCAAGTGTCAATTAATACCTTTTTCCATTAGAGATTCTGCTAATTGTTGTTAATCTTTTCAACACTCGCCAACTGCAAGAAACAGGTAAAATATTATGAATGTGTATTCGGTTCTGCCATTTTTAGTAATTTATTTTCTTGGAAAATCGATTAGTTTTCATGCAAATTTGAATCATCAAATGTGGGAGTTTCGTAACACAACTTTCAACCGAATAAATGATAAGGCATTGGAGAGATTTTCATAGCAGAGAGCTTAAAACTCTCTAACTTTTAGCACATCATTAACGTAATGCTCTACGCCTAACTAGGCAATTAATTACCCGTAATGTAAAAATTCTAGTTTTTGTAGATGCGTTGTTTCGGAAATAAAACCACGCTATATAAGGGTGATGCGTAATTTTTTATTCCATGTTCCATTTTATTCATACTAAACAAACGACTGAAAATCTAATTATAAGGCTTTTTTGCATTGATGATCACTATAGTGATCTCAGCTGAAAACACCTAAAAAGTCACGTTTTCGGCATACCTACAAGGGACCCCGATTACTGCTCGATTTGACAGCTTAGGGGCTTCTACTGTATACTTCCGTCAAAGGTTTATTCATACAAGCAAGCGACACTTGTATCAATATAAGCTGTGCTGTCCACCAAGGGTTTGAACACTCTGACGCAAACCGTGGCTTCAATTGCTAACCACTCTGTTGCGTTATGTGTACGATGGCCTGACACATTTTGACCTCCAGGCCTTTCCAAATGTGTCGTCTGTCAGCATAGCATCAAAGAAAAAACGAAATGAATACTAAATTACATGATTACGACGAGCCGAATAGAGAAATGGTTATGACACTACGCTACGGTGAACCCACAACTGATCTGTCACTTTGGTAGACTTTGTTAATAGCTTCTAAATCTTTAGAAATCGTACGTCCCTCTCGTGAAGAAACTGCAAATTGTACTGCCTACTTTTAACTGAAGAACACCTGCAAAGAATATTCGACGAAGCTGGACGTTACAATTTTAAACAGTATTGCCATTAATGGAAGACGAAAGAAATTTTAATTACATATTCTCAAATGTATTTTGTAACTGTATAGGTTTATCATTTGCTACCTAGAAAATCATTGATAAAGAAATTTCTTCGATCGCATAAAAGCGATTATTTGAAAAATACTATTTTATGGTGAGGTAACATGAAAAGTTGCTACAAATGTTGTTATTATTTTTACAGAAAGATGGGCATGCTTTGCCATCGAAACGTCATCAAATTGAAGGCGGAAATTTAACGCTGACAAGTCTGCATGAAACCGATCGCGGTATTTATGAATGCTTTGCAACGAATGAAGCCGCTACCATCACAGCTGAGACAGAATTGATGATCGAAAATCTCACACCCCGTCCCCCTTACAATCTAACTGCAAATAGCACGGAGACCAGCATTACCGTACGTTGGCAACCAGGTAAAGAAAAGGATTTTACTAATATTTGTACCCACCACTGGAATGAGAGAGCATACCAACTTTTTCATTCCCTATCCTAACAAGTTAATCTCCTTTGATGAATATCAGTTTCTAGTTCTGTCCGACTAACTACTATGGCTTAACGAAACTTGACATTAAATTTAAATCATAATCGAACGCCATAAATTTTTAGGTGTCTATGATTCCTTCCTTGGAAGTGCGGCAAAGAGAAAAGATGCTGTGACAAAGTCACGCGAACATTTTAGCAATGAAGAGTCCTATGCGGCAGAGGTCGCACTAAAACGAAAAATTTTCTTGAAGACGTGGCAGTTAAAGATCACAATCATTTGTCATAAGAGTAACCAAAAACATTTAAAATGAACAAAGATCAAAAAACAAAAATAAACAAGAGATTTTTTTTCATTATGACAACATAAACACTGAGTACATGAGTTTCTTCAATGAACTTGATGTTTCTTTAGAAAGAATTCTGTTAGCTACTAGACATATTCCTTTACAAACTGCTGTATGCCCTTTCCCTTGTCTTCGCTTCGCACTTTAAGGTGCTTGCTTCTACTTGTCTTTCCTTTATACTGCTTCATATTTATTTTTCTTTTGGAAGTACAGTAAAGAAAGGGAAACATACAGATAAGAAGAAATCGAGTGCAAAGACAAAAGCCGCACACCAGCAATTTAAGGGATACATTACATGGGAAAGGGCGGTAAGAGTCTAAGGAAGTCCCCTCTTATTTTTGAAAATACTCATCAATACAGAAAGAGATACTACACAACACAAAAAGTAGAATGGAAAAATCTGAGCTAATGTTTGGAACGTCATAAAATTTTGATAGCTTTCGTTTGATGAATCATACGGATTCGCCAGTAGTCACCCTACAGCCATATATTATACTACGAACTCATTGAATGCTTCATTGCACTTTTATGCGCATATCACCGCTTTGCAGTATAAGAAAGAAAGAGTTTGATTCGTACAAAACACTCTCACCATTTTAATGTTATACAATATGCTCTCCTTCAGCTGGTGGGTATCAAGGAATTCGGTAAAAACTGAATTTATAAAAAAAATTGCTTTTCTTTATTTTTTTTAATCTTTGAACCACAAAGTATTGTTATTATTAATCACTTTAGTAAAGAGAAAGGGTGGTGATGGGGTGTCTGGGATAACGAAATTCATTCAAAAGGTATTTGCTTTTGCTTGCATGATTAAATTCATAGCAAACATCAAACAAATTTGAAGCGTGCAATGTACGGAAACACTAACACCACATTTGATTAGAAGCCAAAGATCTATTAAATTTTGAATACGCCTTTGAATGAAGACAACTTAACATCGTCAAGTAGGTCGTAGTATTAGAAAAGAGAGGGAGAGCAAACGTTTTAAACTTTGTTTGCGACTCTTCTTCCCTTTTATGTAACACGACGGGCCGTGAGCATCGTTTTGCGTAGTTATGAAAATTAAAAGTTCACAGACTGTCATATGTAGGGAATAGCACAATTACGGCGTGACTATTAGGTATTTCGTTAGGAACTCAGACAGAACTCGGAAAGAACTAAGCAAAAAGGGCCAAAGCGTGGGTAAAATCAAAAGTTGTTGTAAATGTTTGCGCAAATTACGGAAATGGCTTGCAACAATGGACGAGACATTTTCGAGTTTATATCCTAATCCCGCGACCTGTGTGCGATGCGACTACAGTCTTCATTTGAGCAAATTATCTGAAAGTAATTAAAGGGAGACGGATTTGGAGAATATCCCATAATCAGAAGAAAGCTTCCCAGATCAAGTTAAGATCACTTCTTAGCTTGTTTATGCTGGAGACGGATGGGCGTACGCGAAGATTTTTTGACGAAACCGCGCAAATCACTTTCCAACTCTTTTATACCTCACTGCGTTTCCATTTCAAGACAATTTAATCATTTCTGTAGATTCCTTTGCATATTTTCCCCATTAAAAACGTCAAGATCCGTTCGTTTAAACTTCAATATACAATGAACGACAGCTCGTAAGCAATGGAAACTCATAGCGGACAATGTTAGAGTTATCTGGAAAATTTGAAGGCATCATGTGCACTTTGATGAAGCAATCAATTTATTAACACCTCTAATAATTGGACTCTAAGCATATCGAGGATCAATATTTTTTTAGATTTTGGGGCGAATTTCGGCTTTCGCTTAATATATAACATCACATATAGGTGACATAGTTTCGAATGGAGATCCGATTGTAAACATCTCTCGAAATTTTGCTATGAAATTATTTTCACTATAGACGCAATTTTATTCAAGTTAGGCAATAGTTGATAACCTTTCATTTATTCATTATGTTTGAATATCTACTAACTTGTGAAAGCATGTCTATAAGCACGGAAGTTAAAAATTTGAGTATTTACAAATATGAACTCGACTAGTTGGGCGAGCAATTATTTGCTAAAATACATAAAATTTGTATATTTGAATAACGAAATTAATGTTATTCTGATGTAAAAGAGCATTTTATGTAATTTTAATTTATTTAATTATTATTTACACTTGAAGTTTAAATTATATCACATTGCCTGTCTCGTATGAGTATTTAAATAATTGTTCACTTTTTCTATATATATATATATTTGCAAAATTTTAAACAAAATTTTTAAGCTTAAAGCAATAAAAATATTTGATGCAATTTCGTTATATTATCAAATAATTATCATGTTCACAACAAAACATTTCATTGGCATTGTGTGCGGCTTTTTTGGTTATATTTGAATTTTAATTTCATTTCATAAGCATGCAATTGGATCACATTTCACTTTATTTTGTGTGCGTGTACGTTTATTAATGTGTGTGTAAAAACTTAAAGCCCCGAGATATGTTATGCATAGTCAAAGTTCCATTTCAGATGAGTATATGCTAACTGGCAAAAATCCGAAAGTAGGTAAGTAATGTCAAGCAAATATAAATGCAAATTGAAAATGTATTCAAAAACACATAAGCAACCAACACCACCAACATCACACGCCACCCTTAACCTTATCTGTATAAGCATTTATAATTATAATTAATATAATATGACCGAAAAATTTCTGCAATGAATTCGTTATTAAATGATAAAAGCAATAACAAATATTCTCAAGATGTTTGTAAACATGTTATAAGGAACTCTATATATATATATATATATATATATATATACAAACAGACATATATACAGAAATACATATACAATATAACTAAAAATAGTGACAATAATTCATATGAAAATTGTGCTTTAAATATTATCCTCTCTCTCTCTCTCTCTCTCTCTCTCTCTCTCTCTCTCTCTCTCACACACACACACACAATTTTTTTTTAATATTTTCTTGTTTTCACTTTTGTTGTGTACATGCATACGGACCACCCCTTTAGGTTATTTGCGTCCGAATCTTGAGTATACGGTTTGGTATCGTCTAACGGATGCTCCTGAATGGCGCACTATGCGTATCCTGCAAAAGAATGTTATGGAGGCCACTATACAGCATCTGCTACCGGGTCGCGAATATGAATTTATGGTTCTGAGTCAGGATAAACATGGCGATGGCATGTTCAGCAAACAAATTCGATTTTCAACACAACGTAAGTACCCGCACATGAATTAAACGTTGCTCATTCATAACAATGTACTCGCACAGTCGCTACAGTGCTTACAGTTTACTTAAAAAGGTAAAAAAACGTTAATGCTTCCATGTGGATCCTTACTTCTGCAATTTTTTTAAAAAAATCAATGGTTTTCATAGGAGAGGAGTGTCTTAACTAGCATATGATACTACCATTGTTCATATTTCTTGCTGAATGAATATTATTACGAATTGATTATAAATCATTTTCTTTAGGCTAAAAGGATTAAACTACCTAAAAAAAAAAAAAAAATCCAATAGTTTGCAAAGCAATTTACTAGCTTAAGGGGTAACAGAAAGAAAATCTACAAAGAATATCTCAAAAATCAACCTCTTTTTTAATGACATTTGCCATCTGCCGAATTCTGATCTGTTCGGGCGAAGTTGTCGGCGAATGATTGATTTCCACAATTCAAGCGTGAAAGAGTGCTGCCCATCTGACTTATTACTTAATGTTAGCAATTATGTAAAATTGAAAGGAGAGTAAAGACGCGGTTGAAAATATTTAATAAACTAAGCTTGCAATAGGACCTATTTTTTTATTAACCCCCGTAGCTGCAAAATTAGTTTGCAATATTTCATTGCAAAGTAAAACGTAGGATCCACAAAATCGTATATCGTATTTTTGTTATAATTCGTTCCATCCTTTCAAGTAGTTTCCCACACTGAATACGAAAGTGAAGCCCTCTTACAACTCATATACATCCACAGTTCGTTTCCAATTATGACGCTGACAAAGTTTTTGTCAAGGGATTTCTTTAGGGGGAAAAACAATTATGAGCCTTTCAACACCTATAAGCAACCACCTGGGCCGAATTTATTGGATTTTGAAGTTGGCATTAAAAGCTAACACCCATATTCTGAACAACACCACAGAAAAGTCACTAGTCACAGGTATTCTCTTCCGTGTGATTTTCCTCACGAACGTAATGAACTTGTTTTATAAGCAGATCGAAATCGCAAAGTTTTGTTGTCAGTTTTGCTTCAGAAGACAAAATTTGGTACAAAATTACAAAAACTATGATAAACTATGATGACTGGTAAACGGTTGCGACAACAGAAGACGGTGCCTCTAACTTGTTCTTCTGAACATTCTTTTACGCTTGAGAAATCGATATATTATCCCTCTGTGACTTTCTAGGGGTTAACATGTGAACCAAAAAAAATAAATAAATAAATAAATAAAACGATTTCGGCAAAATAGTTCTATTTTTCTGTTCGAATAGAAAGGCCAAATCCAAAAATCAGTTTCTTGAAGAGCTCTGTACACATAATGCAGAGCAATACGCCCGTTTAGAGCTTCTAGCACGCCTGAGTGAGAGAGCGTGCAATGAGCTTTGCAGAATGCAAAAATAATCCAAAAAAATTCGCCTACAGTTTCTGGAGACTTCTGTATACATAAAATAAAGCAACGTAACCATCTAGCTTATCGTATCCATTTAGCTTAAGTGACCTTGGGCAATGCAAACATAATGTTCGGATCATAAAATAAATATTTAATTTCAATTAATTAATTGCGGTCGTTCGTTGATAGCATTACGATCGTTTTCTTAATAACATAAACTCATCGCTTTATCTTACGTTCATCTGTTCAGAACTGAGGCAGTAAATGGCGCAATAACTTTAGTTTATTAGAAACTTTTCTTTCCATCGTTCGAAAATTAATTTCGTTTTGTCCTGTTTCTTATCACACTTCCACACTTCGACAAATTAAACTAAAATTTCCAAAACGACAGCGCAATCGTGAAACTGAACGACTCACTGTATTTGCACTAAGAGGATTAAAAAAGGCATTTCTTGGCAAATATCTTCCTGATCCTACGAATATAAAAAGAAGGAATGAGTTAATTGTATAAATTTTCATCTTCCGAAGGCAAGACCTATATTCATAGTATCTGCCATATTTTGGTCATTTTTCGTTTTTCTTTAGGCTTTTGACTGTTTTTTTAGGTCTGCGTGAAGCCTGTTCAACGCAATTTGTGAATGAAGTTATTTAAGTTTTACTGCACACTTGCACTAACAAGCATAAATTACAAAATTCATACTCCTGCATACTATGCAATACGAAAACCTCGATTTTTATTTTTATTTGTTATTTTTTTTATTTGTTTTTTTTTTGTACACAGCTTCAAAAGTCATAGTTGAAGATGAAAGTGCTGTGGCTGGTGAACGAGAGAATCACAACCACCCTCAGCAACCGCAACAACAACACCAACAGCAACAAGAGTCTACGGCTGATAGGAATATTAAAGCGCCGCCCGCTCCTCCGCCGCCACAAGCGAATAGCTTAAGTGAGCCTTGGAATTTAAGTGCAATTAATAATCAACAAGGCTGGCTGTTGCATTGGGAGCATCCAGTCGACGGTCTAGATTTGTTACGTCATTATACGGTACGTTGGTGGAAAGAACCGGAACATCACCTTGTCGGCACAGTGGAAACGTTCGATAACTATTATCAATTGCGTCATCTCAAAGAGGGCGCGACATTCAAAATACAAATACTGGCTTTATCGATGGACGGTGAGCAGATACCAAGCAGTATATTAATGATACAAGTGCCATCGCATCGTAAGACGCGTATTTTACTAATTGGCAGCTCAGTGGGTGTTGCTTTTCTACTCTGTGCATTGATTGCTTTCCTTTATGTGAAACGCAGCTGCCTCTTTCATTTATTTTCCGGCGGCATTAATGATGTTAATGGTGGCGATGGTGCTGCTTGTTCCACTAGCATCGATGACGGCGACGATAGCGAGCATTCACATGATATTGAAAAAATTAATAATACCTGAGTGTACGAGATAAAATGGCGATTTGAAAACTAATGCGCCAAGCTTTTATTAAAAAGGGAATATCATTACCGCTTTCAGTTTATGAAAAAGAGGAATATTTTTATTTTTTATTTATTTATTTGTTTTTTTTTTTTTTTTTCTTTTAATATTTATTGATTTTTGTCATCACTGCTTTTGCCGAGGTACGAGAGTAATTCTGTTTACTTTCGAGATGTCGCAGTTAATTTATTAGAATCCTTTTAATTTCAAGTTGATTTTTATATATTTTTTTGTGTGTTTACCATTCCTAGTAATATGTATGATTTACTTTTAATTTTATTAACATTTATTTATGTACAACTTTGTTTTCCTTTCATTTTCGTTTTTAAATAATAATGCTAATGATATTAATTGACTTAGATTTGATAGGTTGTCAGGACAATTAAGTTTTAAATTAATCCCGGTATTAATATTACTTTATAAGCACCTAAAATGTAATATAAACGCACGCACGCACGCATTTATATATAAATAAATAAACATTTAAAGTCATCTGCTACAATATTTAAGACTAAAGCATTTGCAAAACTTGAGAAGCTACCATAGCATTTGCCTTGTCCCTCCCCAAGCCAAATATCAAAACGCTTCAGCCTTTTGGAAGACCTAAGGAAATATTAACGCCTCCTCTTACATCCACATGTGTTACTGTACGCACTCTAATACAGTACAGGACAACTCTAACACGGCAGGCAATTGTGGATTCTGGTTCAATAGTACAACGACAGATGCAGTGGATAGTGGTGAATTCTAATAAGGTGCGTCACAACGGTTTCTTATACGATATGTAACATTGAATTCTATTACGGCATCTTCTAGTAAGTAATAATGGATTTTAACATAGCCAGACCGGTTCTCTTGGTCTGTTCGGCTATTTTAGTATGGTAGGTAATGATGGATTCTGATATGGACCATCCCGATAAGCAAGCACAGATTCTAATGGAATATATAACGATGGATTCTAATAATATTGTGATAGGTAACGGTGGGTGGACTGGGACGCGATCTGTTCTTATAACTAACGGTGAATTCGAATTTTAATACGGTTGTGACTGATTTTGGTAGAACTTAGTTTTCATTACTTATTACTCATTTTATTTGTTCCTGCTATGGTCGAGTAGCTCGCCTGCTTCGACTTCCTTGACTAACTCTGGGCAGCGCTATCTATCAGAATAAATTGAGCTATAGTCCACCGTTACTCAGGAGGATGTCATGATTTGTTTTAGCTGTTATTGGTAGCCTTCGCTAGTTGAAATATCGTCTAGTTTAGAGCAACTAATGAAAATTATTTTGCACATTTGTAACCGGTGGTTAAAGCTTGAAATATGTTGTCAAGGAGACGTCACAATTTGATAAGTGTTCCCTACGTAGATTATTTACATAAATTGATTTCCTATGCTATTAATAAATACAGATTTTGTTTGTTTATTGAAAATGTAACATGTGTAATGACTTAACATATATGCAATAATTGTCCGAGATTCACAAATTTTTTAAGTTTTACCTTCATCTGATGATTGAGTTTGTGAATTTTCAGCTTAAAGCATTCAATATACCACTTTTGGTTCCAGGATATATTATACGGATTTATACAACATCGTGAAGGACTCCACCTGGAGACTTTCTGAATTATGCCACGCTTGTTTGTCCGTCTATCCATTTTGTATTCTTGTGTTCAGTGTTCAATCTTTGAGATATTTTGATGAAATTTGGTACACTGACGCCTTACGGCCCAAGGGGGTAGGCTATTGAAAATGGTTCAGATGGGATCATCTTCTCGACCCCTCTGCCTACAATGTCTTCTTTTAAAAAGTACTCATGTGAACAACTGCTTTCAACGGAGCAAAACAGGGTATAGTGAGCAGGGGCCTACTGTAGTGGGTTGTAAACGCAATGTCCCAGTTTTCGTTATTTCTCTCTGATTGAAGAATAAAGATCTGTTAAATACAATTTATGGATAAAAAATGATTACATTTCTGCACACAAGCTAGCGCGTTTTGTATTCTGTGTCGTACACACACACAGTCCATTTCATATTTATAGATTCGCTTGTTTTATGATTCTTCTTCTCACAATTTGTTGGTTATCTCGAACTTGATATTCGGCCGACAAAAGCTTTCGATCGTATTATTCCATCGCATTTTTATAAACAGAAACCTTTTTTTGATTTCATATATGACAATAAGCACAGGCATATTTAATGAAAGTTTAAGCAAAAATTAAAGTAAACTTTTAGTACCATTTTACCTATGAAGAAGACTTTTGAAAGCATTGATCCACATTACGGCAGCTATTTAATGCTCATAGAAATGGAAGCAATAAGAAACTCTCTACAGTCTTCGGCGGTAACCCATGTCATCCAATTTTATGCAGTAAAAAATTTTACAATCGCATTTAGCGTTTTTTCTTTGCAATGCCAGCAAATACTTAAATTCATTTGACAGAAATGGTGCCGCGCTTTTATTCATTTATTCTCATTTAACAGAATTGCGGTGCGGTGCGGTGCTTTTTACCATTCATTGAAAGCAACTCTGTTCTCTCTCCACTCCACAACACATGGTACTTTACTTTAAAAGCGATGTAAGCGAAAAAAGTAGCTAACGGTTTTTGTGCGAAAAATCAAAGCCATTTCACAATTGCGCAAAGAAGTTTGACAAAGCGAATGAATATTTGCGAAAAAAGATTTTAAAAGAATTAAGGATTCAGAGAAAACTTCTTTTTATATATTATGGAGGAAGTATTTGTTATCGAGACTCTACCAATATTTTTAAAATTCAGATGTAACAAAATTTTAAGACGGGGAAAAAAAGACGTTGAATGGAAGCTGGTAATAACATAAACAAAAAGCTTTAACAAAGCTGTTAAGTGCTCTGTTTCATCCTCATCTGTTAATAGTACATGGAAAAGCTTTTTAACAGAAACTTTTTCCAGAGCAAAGCTATCGCATTTACTAATTAAAGTTGTAATCTATTGTAAAGCTCAAAAAGTTTATGTACAAATAAGAAACGCAAATAAAAAGCTAACAAAAGCTTCATATTGAAATGCTGTTTCTTTTTGGTGCTATTGCTTATACAGTGGCCCGATAAAGTCTAGATGCCGTGCGAAAAATTAAGATTTCTCTTATTAAAAACTTTATGGATTGAGGATCAAAAAATAAACTTCTTCAAAAATAAAAGCAAGATTTGTACTTTAATCACATAAAAAACACAAAAAAGTCTACAACAGCAGAAGATTCGAAAAAAAAATATCTTGAGTGAACGGTGCCTAGTTTTCGCACTCATTTTCGTACATTTAAATAATAACGTATCAGCTAAAGTGAGTTTGTTTATCTCTTTTCCATAAAATATCACAAAATATACAAAAACCAAAAAATAAATTTCTCAAGACAAGAAATTGACTATAAACCTAAGAAATGAACAAAAATTGTACGGATAAATGGGAAAGCAACAATCGGAATAGGCTGCGCTACTGTTCGAAGTATCATAAAAGATTACAGCAACAAAAATTATATATATTATCAGAATTGTAACAGATCAACCCAAAACTTGCGATGTTTATATTGCAAAAAAACCTAAAAAGTATAAGCAAATTAGTACTCGTTCCGAAATCTTTTGAAATGTTTCAAGAGCCAGCGATTTTCATAGCCGCTTTCCCAGAGAGGCCTTGAGTTTGCAAAGCTCCACAAAGATGATGCTTTAAAGATGTGGAAAAACTTAATTTTTAACGACAGGTCTAAGTTTAATATGTATGCGGATATATTGGTAAACAAGGAGTGCGGAGGTAACCTAATACAGCGATGACAATCCAAAATGCATTACCAACTATAAAGCACGGTGAAAGCTCTGCTCTGTAGGAAATCTGATCTTAATTGACCCTAAAATGGATCATCAAAAAGTGCATATAATTCTCATTTTACACGAATTTTTTTTTACACGTAATTTTATTTGACAGGAGTTAAAAAGAATAAAATCTCTCTATACGCGTATTATTTTGTTTTAACGCGAATTTCAATTTTGTATGAATCTTTTTAATGAATTTTTCTGATTTTTTAGTTTCTATGAATTTTTTAATTCCCTCAAATATGAATTGCAACTTCGCGCAATATATCTTTTTAATAACTCACTTAGATTATGCCGATTATATGCATATACGAGACGGATTCGCCGAATTATGCAAAGACGTAATACATTTTTTATGAATTTTAGTTTGGTTTTTCAAACAATTTTTTTTTTTCTATAATATATTTAATGAGTTCAAATGTGTTATCCAGAAAAAAATTCTCAAGTGAACTGTAGTAAGAATTTTTTAATATTGTTCATTGTACGTTTCAGCTAGTTTTTTGGGTGCGCCCCAATATACTATTTTTTCATTTAGCCAATATACTTATTACACGATTTTTTTTACACGAATTTTTTACACGACTTCTCTCCTATGCCAAAAGACAATTAGGTATACCCATCCAAGCAAAGTCTGGAAAATATGATATCCAAAAGGAAAAAAATTCTTTAGATAAAAACTGGCTAAATGATGTTAAGCAGACTTCATAAAACAACATATGTTGCAATATCCTTTCCTTAAGATTTGCAATCACATTCGCTCTTGGATAAGCGCTTAAAAGTTTTTCTTTTTTGTTGTTCGAAAAAATAGGTGATCTTATGAAGAACACTCTTCAAAATTGTGGGGCCGTTGTTCAAAGGGAAAAAGTGAGTTTTAATAGAAGTTATATGGAAAACGAAAACATGCAATATGCATGCAATTCATATAAACAAGTTGTACATCCATGGAAAGCTAATAATTCAACTGAGAAAGGGAGATCACGAATCGATGGGCAGATGGCTCGACTATAAAAGTTGCAATCTTTTATACCTCCAATCGTTTACCTAAAAAAAAGAAAATAAGAAGAAATTGAAGCAATGAAATTTTGACACTCTATGCTTTTGTGTGGAACTGGTAGATATTTTCCATTTTTGTGCCATAATATTTAAATTAATGTTATTGTTCCTCTTTCATATTAATCAATTTAAATGTTAAGTTAAATGTTAAGTTGACATAAACTCGTTGCATATATTTACACAGTGAAATGAAATGATTATATTTATATTTATAGTATGTGTAAATATATGTTGATTTTAGTTTATTTATGTCATCGTAATAATCACGAGCTTCTAATTGCACATTGTATCTAAGTACAAATGCACTTGCATTGTACCCAATTGTTCCTAATAACTTTGTACTTAAGGCTCTTACACTTACGCTTACACTGCAATTACTTGTATTTAGATAGCAATGTATTTACAATTCGAATACTGCGATCGAATAAGAGTTCAACTCAGTTAACCTGAATAACAAGAGAACGAGAAGCCGCTGTGGAGAAACCTAAATATTCGTTAACAATCCATCAAAAATGTTCTATTCGTTTTTTTCTATAAATTAAGTAAAAATACAAAAAAAAAAAAAAAAAAAATGCAAAAG